GAAACAGGCCATCACATCTTGGCCCCATGGGGCAGCTGGTGGGTTTGAACCACCAACTCTTCAGTGCGCAGGTGAGTTCTTCCCCTGCACCCCCAGGGCTTCTGAGTAATGGTGTGCCCTTGCAGATTCCTTTGCTTCAGTCGATGCGCCATGGTTATATAAGATGTTAGCATTAGGGAAGTGGAGGGAAGGGTGTCCAGGAACTCTCTACTATATTTTGCCATTCTTTCATAAACCTAAAATTATGTCCAACTAAGGGTTTTTCACTCCTGAAAAGCAATAATAGACACATTGAGTGATTCGATATTGTGTTGGGGGAGGAGAAATCATCTTTAATAAAAGCACACCAGTTGGTGAGTGCCATTCCAACTTACTCATCTGTAAAATGGGGATAATGATATTAGACCTCTCATAGGATTCTCTGAAGATGCCACAAGCAAATGCATGTCAAATCCTCAGCCCAGTGCCCGCCACAGATTGTAAGGTCCTCATCAGTGGTATTTCTTACTGAATTCTTACTGTACTAGGAGAAGTTTAGTTCTCCATTTTTTAGTTGTGGGGAAACTGCATTATTAATGCCTCAAATCACCTAGCTAGTAAGTAACAAGAGTCAGAATAAGATAGGTAGACAGAAAAACAAACCTTCCAAAAAACACAAGTATAGCTCGTCTTCGCCTATTTTTTTTTGGTGGGGGTGGATAGGGGCAGCAATTAATGCAAAAGGGAGAATCTGCAGGAGTTTTTTAAAGGGCAAGATACAGACCAGCTGTCAAATCCCCCCCCCCCCCCAGTGTCCTTTGAAGCTTTGCTTCAAATGTGGCTAGGAAGGAGGGTAGAGGCAAGAGTAAAATCACTCACCACTGCAATGCTGAAGACAAAGCGGGTGCATAAGCAACTGTGGTGACCAAAACTGATGGTGCCCAGCTATCAAAAGATATAGTGTCTGGGGTCTTAAAGGCTTGAAGATAAACAAGTGGCCATCTAGCTGTGAATCAACAAATCCCACATGGAAGAAGCACACCAGCCTGTGTGATCATGAGTTGTCCATGGGATAAAGTATCAGGCATCAAAAGACCCTGAACAAAATATCATATCGATGTAATTGAGGGGGAGCGTGGAGTGGAAACCCAAAACCCATCTGTAGACAATTGGACATTCCCTTACAGAAGGGTCACAAGGAAGAGAAGAGCCAGTCAGGGTGCAGTATAGCACTGATGAAGCATACGACTTTCTTCTAGTTTGTAATGCTTCCTCCCCTATCATGACCTCAATTCTACCTTACAAATCCGGCTAGACAGGAGCATGTACACTGTACAGATAAGAGCTCTCAACACAGGGAATCCAGGACAGATAAACCCCTGAGGACCAATAATGACAGTAGAGATACCAGGAGGGTATGAGGAAGGTGGGGAGAGAAATGGGGAACAGATCACAATGATCTACATGTAACCCCATCCCAGGGGGATAGACAACAGAAAAATGGGCGAAGGGAGGCATCGCGGTCAGTGTAAGACATGAAAAAATAATTTATAAATTATCAGTGCTTCATGAGGGAGAGACAGTAGGGGAGGGAGGGAAAAAATGAGCTGATACCAAGGGCTCAAATAGGAAGAAAATGTTTTGAAAATGATGGCAACATATGAACTAATGAGCATGATTACAGTAGATCTAAGGATTGTTATTAGAGCTGGAGGAGCCCCAATAAAATGATTTATAAAAAAAGTGGGGAGGATTTTTCCCTGCTTGGTTAAAGGTGTCTCTCCCATGTTGTCAGCAAACAATACTTAGTGATGAAATCTGTGTGTGTGTTGAAATATATTTATATAACAGAACTTTTGCCCTTTCAGCATCCCTGTATGTGGACAATTCAGCGGCATTAATTACATTCACTGCTAAGTGATGAGGTCTTAATCACTTTAGAGTCAGGAATCAGAGCAGTGTGCACACTCTCACAGCAGATAGTAAGGTTTTAATCAGTGGTTCTAGTGCAGTATGAGAGAAAAGCGAAAGACTGCAAAGCCGGGCAAAGATGGAACAAAGCTTGTTCACAACATTCTGCCCCGATTTCTTTTTCAAAGTCACTCCGCTGCTCTCCTGCCCTGCCTTCCAATCAGGTGGTGGTGGTGCAGCTGGCTGCGGTTGGAACGCTTTGTTCTTCGGTTCAGCATTGACCTTGTCCAGCTTTGTGGCCATTGAGTTGCTGGAATAGGAAGTTTCTCTGGGTTGTTTCTGTCCGTTTTCTGCAGAGCCTGAGAGCATCCCTGGCATTGCATTGGTCAGTATTTCCCCAGGAGAACATCTTGGTTCATATTTCACCCGATGGGTCAGGCCTCAGGGCTCCTACGGCGACTCAATCTCCTGTTAAGTGTTTTGGTTTGGAGATTGCATCTGCCTCTTGCTGGATCGTAACACTGACTCAGACGGCAACAGTTCCCAGGTCTACTGTGTGTCATTTGGGAACATCAGGCTGCCAGAGAGCAGCTTAATGTTTTCTTCCAAAGGGGCAAGGCCTTAGAAAAGCACTTTCATTACAACCTCCTCTTATAGCAGTGCTCCCTCCGCTCATCCTGAACAAAGGCCAATGTTTGGGTTGCACCTAATCTCGTCACTGTGCAGAAAATGACCGCCTGACTGGGTCATGTACTGCGGGCAGCAAAGTCAGCAGAACCTTAGGAAAGATGACACAGCAAGTGGAATGGAGCGGAATCTTCCCCCATCCTCCCTCGAGCGCACTGCTCCCTTCTCTGTTTGTTTTTTTTTTTTCAGGCCAAAACCCTAGTTTATTTCCCTTCTCTGTTTTAAAGCAAGACCATCCGATCAGTGTTTGTTCTGCAGCCTCCCTGTTTAGCTATAGAACTGATGGCCCAGCAGCTTTAACCATTAAAAAAAAAAAAAGGCTGAGACCCAGGAGCTACGTGCAGGGTTTTCTGGGACTCTGGCCAGTTCCCCCAGGGAAATCCCATCTCCTCATTTGCTGCAGTGCATTTTCTGCCACCCAAGGTCGTGATGGCACAATCCTGACGTTTCCAACCCAAGCAGAGCCACATAGAGAAATTCAAGAGAGACTCAAGAGGCTGTGCGTGCGGTGTGTGTGGGGATTCAGTATGCCACCGGTGCAGCTGTGACGTAAAAAATAAAATTAACTCCTCCTCTGGGCACAGATGCTCAGGAGCCAGGCAGTGGACCGAGAGCATCCCAAAGGGCACTGTGGGTTGGCAGGCAGAGGGCTGCCAGACCCTGCTCTTCTCCAGCTCTTGAGCAATCGTAAAGCCCTGGGTCTCACTTTGGAAGATTCATCCTGTACATTTTGGACCTGAGCCATCACCAGTGCTTGAAGAGCGACCCACAGTTTGCTCAGCTCAGCATGCCAAGAAGCCAGAGCGGTACCCAGCCACCTGAATCCAGTCTCCGCCTTGGAAAAAGTATTGTCTCCTCGAGATATCGGGAAGTCACTCGGGCCACCTTGCTGTAGAATTGCACTGAACTTTTAACTTTTTTTGGTAGTGCTATTTCCCTGTGAAGAAGCCTGCCAGGTTGGCGGCAGTCTGTTTCAAAGAAAGCTCCTGCCGTCTAAGGTCGGCAAGGGCATGAAATGACACGAGAGCTCCTCAGCAGCATTCCACATTCAGGAAGGATTTTCCCAGGCTCCTACTATGTTCGTCCCCCCTGCAGGGGTTTCCTGGAGCATCTGAAGTGCTGGGCTGACCCCCCCAACTTTGAAAGCCATGGCTGAGAAGGAAAGATGAGCAGCTTGCCGCTCTCACCCGGCAATGATTGATGTTTGCCGCATGTTAGGCAAGTTTGGCTTTTCCATCAAAATTGGCTGTCTTCATGTGCTGTCCGGAGTCGCCTTCTGGTCAGATGGAGCTTAGGAGGACCAGGGTAACTGTTCTCTTTGTTTCTGTACATGTTTCGTCTGTCACCGTGTTCCTCCCTACAGCCTGATGTTTTTATTTATGTAACTCCTGCCTGCATAGCCATTGGAGCGGGTGTATGCCCTCTTACCCATCAGCCTGGTTTAGGGTGACTTTCAGGTTTGCAAATAATGTTTTATATGGCTGCGATTGTTTTGTTATTTATTTTTTGTTCTTAACCTGTGCTGCCTCTAGCTAGTATAGAAAAGAATGCCTATGGTTAGATTTTCTTTATAACTTTCTATCGTCCGTTAGGCAGGAGTTTACATTTTAGGTCATCATTTTCGTATTCAATTTAAAATACTCATTAACAGTCCCCCCTCCCCCAAGCTCACCCACTCCCCATCCACCCACCTCTGATTTCTCTGCTCCTTCCTGTGGAATATTATCTTCCCCTTCACCCGAATTAGCGCCTGTCTACCCTCTAGCCTCTTGCTTCCTTTCCCCACCTTGCTGCCCTCCCTACTCCCCTACCAATATGATTGAGCTTTCCCTGTTACCTCTCGCTGCCTGGTAGTTATTTCTAAATATAATTCATGTATTTCGGATACGCTGTAGATGCAAAGATGCATTCTTGACAACCCCGGGATAGAACTGTTAAAATTGCACTTTTCATTTTGTGAACTATGAAAGACCACACTATTCTTTGTGCTTTAGAAAAGCCATTGGAGAAGAGGAGTTCACAGAAGTGGCTTCAGGCAGGGTGGGGAAAGGGGTTTTGGTTTTGGTTTTGGTTTTTCAAGCATCAAAAGATGCCTGCCTGACAAGGTCATCGGATGGCTTTTCTCCAAAGGAGAAGGAGAGAATGAGCTAGGAAATGGAAGCGTCTGAATTAAAAGCTGTGGGTGTTGGGGAAAGGAGCCCCTTTTCTGTGAGCTCAAACTCTGTTACCTTCTCCTTGCTGCTGCTGCTGCTGCTCCTGCTCCTTAGCCGGGTGCTCTCCCTGCAACTGAGGGAGACATGCACTGTTTACATGCCACAAATCCCCTTGCAGCCCACAGTTCCTGGAGTAGGAAACCCCCATGTTGGGGGATGACCTTGTCTTTGTAATTGACCTTGACAGTTCCTTTTCTTTTCACCCCACAGGAGCCGAGCAATAAACGGGTCAAACCCCTCTCCAGAGTCACGTCATTAGCAAACCTCATCCCACCTGTGAAGGCCACGCCGTTAAAGCGCTTCGGCCAAACCCTGCAGGTAAGAAGGACCCTGTGTTTGCAGAAAACCACGTAGTGCAGGAAGAGACACCCCATGGCACCGAGAACGTTCCCCTGGTTTCAGATGGACCTGAGTCAATGTTTGTTTCGATCGAAGAAAGCCAGGGAGGGGACAGGGAGGAGGGATGACTGGAACCCCGGGGCCAGAGCCCTCCAAGGGGTACCTTAAGGAGCTGCGTCTGGTGGGTGTTTCCCCACAATTGAATTTCAGAGTTGGGTGCCCTATCCAGATGTGCTTTCACAAGCTTCATCCTAATAAAATCTAGGGGCCTCCTGAGGAAGCCTAGCATGTGACTGGAGGCAGAGTGGGGGCAGCAGCTGAACCTAGTGGCTTAGATCAGGGGTCAGCAAGGTGGCCAGCCCACACCTATTTGTTGTGGCCCACCAGTTGTTGTGTTATAAAAAAAAATCAAACAGAGAACATTATTTCATGACATGGGAAAATGAGGTGAAATTAAATGTCAGCGTCTATAAAGAAAGTTCTGTTGGAACACAGCCATGTCCACCTGCTTACTCGTCCGTGGCCACGATAGTGGCAGAGTTGAATAGTTGGAACAGTGGCCAAAGAGCTTACAAAGCCCAAAACAATTACTCTCTGACCCTTTGCAGCGAATGTTTGCTGACCACTGACTTAGAGCAGGGACTCGGAGTCCCTCAGTGCTGAACCCAGTTCTGTCACTCAGGGACTTTGTCACTTGGGGCAGGTGACTTACACTCTCTAGACCTTCATTTTCTTCCTCATGGGTAAATCCAGATGGGACTGTCAGCTCCTTCATAGAACCACTGCACAGATTTATGAGACAGGTCATGTAAAGGACCTCGTAAAGTGTCTGAGGATCCCTGGGCTGTAGTGGTTTTATGTTGGCCTGCTAACTGCAAGGTCAGCAGTTCGAAACCACCAGCCGCTCCACAGGAGAAAGAGGAGGCTTCCTGCTCCCGTGAAGAACTTATAGTCTTGGCCACCCACAAAGGCAGTTCGACCCTGTCCTCGGGGGTCGCTGTGGGTCCGAACAGACTGGAGTGCAGTGAGTTTGTGAGGGTAGTGCCTAAGAAGTCTGATGACTGACACCCACCCAGCAACTCTGCTGGAGACTTGACCACCCGATCCCATGAAGATTACATTGTAGGAAACACCATAGGGACAGTTTTACTCTGTCACGATGGGTCCCCGGAAGTCCAAATGCACTCAACATCCCAGCAGTTCAGTATGTCCGCCCTTAGGATGTTTGTGTTGTTATGTGCCTCAAGTCAGTTCCATCAGCTAGCAGCCCTCCGCCCTGCAACAGAACAAAACACCACAATGCCCTGCACCATCCTCACAGGTGTTTAGGTCTGAGCTCGTGGTGGAAGCCACTATGCCAGTCCCTCTTGTCAAGGTCCTTCCTCTTTCTGGCTGCCTGCCACTTTCTCCAGGGACTGGTCTCTGGTGACATGTCCAAATTAAATGAGACAAAGTGTTGCCATCCTGGCTTCTAAGCAGCATTCTGGCTGTACTTCTTCCCATATAGATTTTGTTCTTTTAGCAGTCCCTAGTACGTTCAACCCTCTTTACCAGCACCGTAATTCAAATGCATCAACTCTTCTTTGGTCTTTCTTATTCAATACCCAACTTGCACATACATATGAGGCCATTGGAAAAGCCGCAGCTTGGGTCTGGCACTCCATATTCCTCAAAGTGACATCCTTACCTTTCAACATCCTAAAGTGGTCTTATGCAGCAGATTTGCCTAATGCATTACATCTTTTTGTCTCTTGATCTCTTGGCTGCTGCTTCCATGAGCATTGATTATGGATCCAAGCAAGACACAATCTTTGGCAACTTCCATCTTTTCTGCATTTATCATGATGTTACCTATTGGTCCAGTTGTGAGGATTTCGACAATGTCAATTTCCCCCCTGTTAATCTTATATATTGGTCCATTTGTGAGCATGTTTTCTTTACATTGAATTATAATCCACACTGAAGGCTGCAATCCTTGATCTTCACCAGCAAGTGCTTCAAGTCCTCCTCACTTTCAGCAAGCCTGGTTGCATCAGCTGCATATCCCAGGTTGTTAATAAGCCTTCTTCCAATCCTGATGCCATGCATTCTTCATCATGTAACCCAGTTTCTCTGATCATTTTCTCAGCATACAGATTTAATAAATGTGGTGAGAGTTTACAACTCTAACACACACTTTTCCTTGATTTTAAACCAGGCAATATTCCCTTCTGTTCGTACAACCGCCTTTTGGTCCATGTAGAGGTTCTGTATGAGCAGGATTACGTACGTGTTCTTGAATTCCCGTTCTTCTCAAGGCTGTCCTTAATTTGTTATGGTCCACATCGCTGAGTGCCTCTGCAGACCCTCACAGAGCAATCACTAATTTAGCTAATCAGTAAACACTGGTTACTCTAATTTTTTTTGTTTTATTTGTTAATAAGATTTGTAGTTCCTGTTCTTAAACTCCTGATAGTTGATCATTGAGACCAGTGGTTGTCAACCTCCCTAATGTCATGGCCCTTTAATACTGTTCCTCATGTTGTGGTGACCACCAACCAGAAAATGATTTTCGTTGCTACTTCGTCACTGTCATTTTAATGCTGTTATGAATTGGGTGGCTCCTGTGAAAGGGTCGTTCGACCCCAAAGGGGTTGGGGCCCACAGGTTGAGAACCGCTGATTTAGAGTAAGACTCAAACTTTGTCCAAAGCCTGGAACCCAGTTGGATAACTGTAGAAATCCACAGAAGTCGCGCGTGAAAAGATTCACATTGTTTAGCTGAAATGTTGTCTTGTGTAAGTCATTTGGTTTGTTCTGAGCAAGTTCACGCGAAACGTTTCCCTACAGGTTGTATGAAAGCAAGCACAAGTTGTCCTGAGCAGCGTACCTGGCTGATTGGGTTCTTTATCCTCTCAGGGACTATAGATTTGAAACGGAGTTTCAGTTCTGTAGAAAGGTGCTGCGAGGTTGGTAGAGAGACATGCCAGTCAGAGATAGAAGCAGATTCTGTGATGTGGTGGGAAAATGTGAAATTGCTCACGACCGATTAGTAAGTAAGCAGGAGTGAGCCTGTGCTTGCCTTGCTTATTGGGTAATCTGACACTGATTTTGTCTACTTTTGCTCAGCAATGCTGTCTCGGATTTCTGAGTGTCTTTGTTATCTAGTGCTGCCGTAACAGACACAAGGGAAACAGCACAAGGGTTATTTCGCTAAGAACTAGAGATTTATTTGCTCATAGTCTGGGAGGCTAGAAGTCTGAAATCGGGGCGAGGATTTCTCTTGATTCTGGAGGACCATCTGCTGTTTCTGGGCTTCAACTCCCCAGATCTCCATGTGATGGGGCATCGCTCTTCCCGCATCTCCACTGCTCTCACTCGCTTGCCTGATCTCTGTCTCAAAAGAGACGGACTTGAGACACACCCTACGCTACCCTGCCTTGTTGGCGTAGTCCAATCCCAAATGGGACTGTAGCTTTAGCTATGGGATTAGGATTTACCAGATTTATTTGGAGGACATACTTCATTCCATAACACTATCTTTAGGAAAACTGCACTTGAACCCAATTTGGGCCTCATCCTTTGGAAATCCATAACTGGAGCTTCTTCTTTGAGGGTCTCCCTCACCCACTTCCGTGTTGTTTTTTCACGACTCGGCCAAACATGTATAAGTCCACCTGCCCAAGCTGCCCTCCATGGCCCTGGAAAGGCTCCAGGCTGGCCTGCCCATTCCTGTTAACTCTGCGGCGGCGACTGCTGCTTCGGAATAAGTCTAATTAGCTCTCAGCGTGCCTCTGGGTCTCTGCTTAGCCCCCGTCCTCCTTTGTGGGAGCATGGAGGAGAAAGTAAATAAGGTCATGTGGGAGAGCCAGGCGCAGGGCTTTGAAGCGAGTGCAGAAAATATGTTTACCTCCCTTCCCTCGTGACCAATCCCAGGCCCTCAGGACAAGTTTATCGCAGGCTTTCCCTGGAAGATTCATCACCGCCCTGCTCCCGCACAGCTGGCCTTTCACCGAGTTCTGCTTTTTGAAAATTCTTCAGCTTGCCTATTACACTTCACCCTTTCCTCCCCGCCTCCGTAGATGTAGCTCGGGTTCCTCTCTTGCTCACAGAGCCTGCATGTCACTGGTCATCTGCTCCCATTGTGTCTCCCCCTGAATGCTGTCTGCCCCAGGAAGGCCCGTCCTCTCCACATAAGCCTTGAGTGGGTCCTCACCATGCACTTGGCTCTTCGTCCTGCCCTCTGTTGCTTACATTCTAGGTAGAGCCGTCTTCTGGTAGGTACAATGGCTGTGAAGTGCGTTTTATAAACTAACTGAACGTGGAAACAATCCATGGACGAGTCAGGGCTCCTGGCAGCTCTGAAAGAGTGGGACAGCCTGGCAGTGTGGGGCCTGTACTCTTGCATGCAAGTCGCGAGCTGAATCCTCAGACGTGATCACCCCATCTTATCGCCGTCCCCGCTACCTGGTCCGTTCACTCACTGACAGCACCTGCCCACACCTGTCAGATTTTGCACTTGTGTCCCTGGGTCTGGGGAGAACACTTGTTCAAGTCTGTGCCGCCCCCCACAGCTCAGCTCTGGCTGCTGATGCCTTAGGGATGAAGACCACCCATCTCCATCCGCAGGCCTTTGCCATCGTTCCTCTGGCTTCTTACGCAGTCAGTTGCTGTCAAGTCCATGGGAATACATGTTGGCCCGTGTGTGCCAGAGTAGAGCTGTGCTCCTCTGGCTTCCAGTGTTTTCTCAGAAGAAGCTCTCTAGACCTCCTTTTCCCCCAGGTGCCTCTGGGTAGTTCCAAGCTCCAGCCTGTTGGTTAAAAGTCAGTGTTAACATTTGCACACCACTCAGGGACTCCTTGACTGACTTGCCCTTTCCCGTTTCCTCCCTTTTCCCCTCTTTCCCTTCCCCATTGAGTAAATGCTGACTCATATCAACTCCACAGGTTTACCAAGACTCGCTGTTCAGGGGAGTAGAAAGTCCAGTCTTTCTCTTGCAGA